AACACCAGCTGATCGACAGACGGTCATAGCTGAGAGCCAGTGTGGTGTACTGGTCACGGTGCTGGACTCGGAAAGGGAAGACCTGCGTTCAGATCCTCCTTCGCTGCACGGACCAGTCCCTCTTTCTCGGCCTAACCTACCTCGCAGGGTTATCTGGCTAATCTGTATCCCGCCGTGAGGTCAGTGGAAGGGAGGCAAGATAAAAATGTGATAAATCGACGAATGCTTGTTTCTAGTCCAAAAAATTTGGACCGGCTGATTTCTGCTTTCTCTAAAGGTAGAGGAGTGGGTCGGGCTGGCTCCCCACCCCGCTCCCCGCAGAGGCAGGAAGTGGCAAACCACCCTGAAATGTCTCTTGCCTGAAAAACAAGTCTAGCTCGCCAACTAGTGGTGCATGGTGCATAACACTAAAAGAGCTAGAACTTCTGGCTGCCAGACAGTCTTAGGATCTCTTGGCTATACTAAACACAAGGCCTTATGATAATTATTAATCTATTGGCAACCCTTTTTTCATCTTAGATGAAGCCGGCTAGAGAGACCTTTGGCTGGATCCAGTAAAGACCCCTCCGCCTTCTCAAAACAAAACTCTTTTTTTTCTCAACAAGTTCCTGGTATTGGCACAGTGGAGGCCTTTGTTCCCGTAAACCTGGCGAGATTTCAAGAATCGCTAATATTTTTGTTGTTGTCATCCAAGTAGCCCAGCAGCGTCATCTACACTAATCCGGGTGTTCAGCAACATATGACTTGGTATCACCTACCAACGGATGCTTTTCACTGGAGACGGTGGGGACAGGGCCAGCTCGAGGTGTTTCTGCGCCCTAGGCGAGGCTGCCTTATGGCACAGATGCCAACCTCCCAGTGGGGCCTGGAGACCTCTGGAGCCAGCCACCCTTTTGCTGCTGCCACCGCCTCCACCACCAAAGGGGGGGAGGAGGGGGGGAGGCACAGCTTGGCGCCCCATCCAGGGCCTGGCGCTCTAGGCGAATGCCTAGTTCGCTTAGTGGGTGAGCCGGCCCTGGGTGGGGATTGAACTGGGAATGTCTGCATGCCA